CCCAGTGACCCGGCCCGCGACCCAACCGCGACCAACCCCGAGACCCACCCGCGACCCACCCGCGACCCACGCCGCGCCCCACGCGCGACCCACCCGCGACCCGCCCCGCGACCCGCCTGCGACTCATCCGCGACCCACCCGCGACCCACCCGCGACCCACCTCGCGACCCACCCGCGACCTGGCCCGCGACCCACCTGCGACCCACCCGCGACCCGCCCGCGACCCACCCCGCCACCCACCCACATTGTTTGAACGAAAAATCGGCGCCTGCGGCGGGCTCGTTGCATGATATCAGAAGATTTGGCGCCTGCGGCGGGCTTCTTCAGAGCCTCGCAGACTGCCGACGTCCCCGCCGCCCCCTCACTCTTATCCGCGACTGCGGGGGGCTAGTTTCAACACCGTTGCTGATTCCTGGCTTACAGCTAAACTGGTCCTCCTCCTCCTCCTCCTCCTCCTCCTCCTCCTCCTCCTCTCCTCCCTCCTCCTCCTCCTCCTCCTCCCCGTCTCCTCCTCCTCCTCCTCCTCCTCCTCCTCCTCCTCTTCCTCCTCCTCCTCCCTCCTCCTCTCTCCCCCTTCTCTCTCCCCCCTCTCTCCCCCTTCTCTCCCCCCTCTCTCCCCCCTCTCTCCCCCCTCCCCTGGCGATTCGGCGCAGGAGAGCCACCAGGAGGCCTCCGGGAAACACGGCGACCGGTTCGAGAAGCTCGAGAAGGTGACGCAGCAGGCGTGCCCTGGCGCGGCCTCAGCATGGGCGGGGGGGTTGAAGGGGGGAGGGAGGAGGATGGGGAGGGGGAAGAGGATGGAGGGAGGAGGAGGAGGAAGAGGAGGAGGAGGAGGTGGAGGGTGGAGGGAGGGAGGGAGGGAGGGAGGGAGGGAGGGAGGGAAGAGGCCCGCAGAGGGCGGCGCGGAGGACGCAGCGGCAGCGGCAGAGGCAGCAGAGGCGCTGCGCGCCGCTGGAGTCGAGGGTGGCAGGCCGCACCGACCTTCGCAGCGGCCGCCCGGCGACGTTGCGACGCGGAGGCCGAGGACAAGGTCAAGCTCGAGGTCAAGTTGGAGGACAAGAAGGCCAAGCTGGAGGTCAAGCTGGAGAATCTCACAAGAAGGACTCTTGCAAGCTCGAGGACAAGAAGCTTCGGTGGGCGCAGGGCGCGCCAGCCGCGGCCGCGTCTGCATCTCCCGCACCCGGCAATCCCCCACGCCTTTCTGGAGGCCCAGAGCGATGCTGCGCATCTCGGCGCACGCCCTCGGGGCCGTCCCCGCGAGCACGGGCGGGCCATGCGCGGCGCATCCCTCGGGAGCCTTGAGACGGGGGTCAATGCAAACGGAGGTCAGCCTGAGCGCCCGGTCTTGTAGGATCCTGCAGGGCCAGGGTCGCATTGACCTGGGCTTGGGTGCGAGATCCTACAGGATCTTGCAGGATCCTTCGCATGGGCCCGGGTGTGGGTGCAGGGTCTTGCGGGATCTTGCAGCTTTCGGCGAGGCCTGACTGACCCGGGCCTGGATTGACCCAGATCAGAAGACCGCCCCCGGCAGCCCCCCGCGCTTCTTTTGGGGCCCAGGGCGACGCTGCGCACCTCGGCGCGCGCCTTCGGGGCCGTCCCCGCGAGCACGGGCGGGCGACGCGCGGCGTCGACGATCTGAACGCTACGGGCCTGCGCGCCGCCACGCCGCGCCACTGGCAGATCTGCGTGCTGTCGCCTGGAGGCGAAGGCAGCTGGAGCAAGGTGCCCGCCCGCCCGCCCTTGCGCGCCGCCTATGCGCAGCGGGCAATGGCAGCCCGCTCCAGGCTGGGAGTTGGAGCCCTCCCAGGCGCGGCCCCGCGCGTTCTGCGCGTGGCGCTGACGATGATGAGCCCTGCGGCCACCTGCTCGACGATCTTCTCCATCATCCCAGCCTCTGCCCTAAGGGTCGCACGGGCCGCTCGCGAGGTCGCGACGCCGTAGCTGAGACCCTCCGACGCCGTGCGGCCCGCGCGGGGGCCCCCGTCGACGCGGAGCGTCACGTCCCAGAACTGTACGCTTTGAAACCATCCAGCGAGGTTATCGAGCGGATCATGGATCGTCCAGGCAGCAGTTTCTCTTGGACGTGACCATTCGCTCGCCTTGCGTCGCCGCCCGCAACGGCGACAATAACTAAATGCAGCACTACGGCCGTGCTGCCACGCCTTTCGCGATCGAGACGTTCGGGAGCATGGGCCCGGCTGCCCTGCGCGCCTCGGCGGCCATGCGCCGCGTCAGCTGCGAGCACGGCAAGCTGCGACCAGGCACTGGCCGGGCATCGGCGCTGCACCTCCGCGCGGCGCGCGCCGACCTGGAGGCGGCGGTGGTGCCGAGCGCTGCGCAGCAGGCGCTCGCGGCACTCGGTGCCTGCTCGGTCCGGGCCTTGGGCTGGCCGGGGCGGCGGGCCCCGCGCCCTGCGCGTGTTGCAGCCGACGGTGGTGGAAAACGAGGGAGGGGGGGAGGCGCTGCTGGAGGTGCCGGCGCTGGCGGCGGGTAGGCACCGGCCCATTTCCCACCAATGTAGGCGGCGGACTGGCGCGCTCGATGGTGTGGCGAGGGAGGGGTGGGGGGGAGGAGGGAGGGAGGGAGGAGGGAGGGAGGGGGGAGGGAGAGGGAGCGAGGGAGGGCGGGCGGTCGGCGGGCGGGCGGGGGAGAGAGGAGGAGGAGGAGGAGCAGGAGAGGAGGAGGAGGAAGAGGAGGAGGACGAGGACGAGGACGGGGGACGAGGACGACGGCGACGAGGAGGAGGTGGAAGAGGGGGTGAAAGATGTGGAGGAGGAGGAGTCGGAGGAGGATCGGGGGAGGAGGTCGCGCCCCTCGGCCTATTGAGGATCGGGCCCCTTTTGGGGCGCCCCAGGATGTTGGGAGGCGGAAGTGGAGGAGGAGGGAGGGCGGGAGGGAGGGAGGGAGGGAGGGAGGCGGAGGAAGGAGGGCGGAAGAGGATGACGACGACGCCAGCAACGACGACGAAAAACGAGAGGAGGATGAATACATGTGAAAGAGCGTGTTCTACCGCTGCTGGCGGAAAACCGGGGGGGGTCACTACCGGTTCGAACCCCTCCCCCCCCCCCTCCGGAAAACCGGGGGGGGGGTCACTACCGGTTCGAACCCCTCCCCCCCCCCCCCCCAGCTCATCATGAAAAGGGGGGGGGGGTCACTACCGGTTCGAACCCCCCCCCCCCTCGAAAACCGAGTGGGGGTGCGGACAGTGGTGGGGACGGTGTTGGTGGGGACAGTGGTGAGGGGACAGCGGGACAGTGGTGGGGACGGCGGGGGGACAGTGGGACAGTGGTGGGGACGGTAGTGGTGGGACAATGGTAGACAGTGGTGGGAACGGTGGTGGTGGGGACAGTGGTGTGGGGACAGTGGGAATGAGGTGGAAACACTGGGACAGTGGAGGGTACAATGGTGGTGGGGACACTGGTAAAGGCGGTGGCGAGGACGGCGGTGGGACAATGGGACAGAGGTACAGTGGGGACAGTGGCGGGGACAGTGGGGACAGTGGTGGGAACAGTGGGACAGCTCAGTGGGACAGCGGAGGAGTCAGTGGGACAGTGGGGACAGTGGGGATAGGCAGTGGTTGGGTCCGTGGAGACAGTGGGGAGAGTGGAACCGTGGTGGGAACAGTTGTGGGAACAGTGGGGACAGTGCGACAGTGGTGGGGGCACTGGTGGGGACAATAGGGACGGTGGTGGAACCAGTGGGGACAGTGGTGGTGAGGACAGTGGTGCTGGGAACACCAGTGGGGGATGTGATGCGGACGGTGGTGGGGACCGGGAGTCGTTTGCTGGCGGTGAGTAGGGGGGGGGGGGGGGGGGGGGGGGGGGGGGGGTTCGAACCGGTAGTGACCCCCCCGGTTTTCCGGATCCGGAGGGGGGGGGGGGGGGGGAGGGGTTCGAACCGGTAGTGACCCCCCCCCGGTTTTCGAAGGGAGGGGGGGGGGGGGGGGAGGGTTAGGGGAGGGGGGGGGCTTTGCCGGGGGGAGAGGGGGGGGGGGGGGGAGGGGGGGTTCCAGCAGGGGGGGGGGATTTTCGGAGGGGGGGGTGGGGGGGGAGACCCCCGGGTTCCGGAGGAAAAGGTTGGCAATTTTCCACAGTAAAGCGGCGGTGGATCACGCTCTCTCATACATGTAGAAAGAGGGGTTGGAGGAGGAGGAAGGCGACGATGACAAGGGCGAGGAGGAAACGTGGAAGGAGAGGAGGAAGAGGATGAGGACGGCGACTGGGGGAGGAGGAGGAGCAGATGCAGAAGAGCGGGGCAGAGACGAGAGAGGGATAAATATCTGGAGCGGGAAGAGGAGGGGAAGTGGCAGGGGAAGAAGGGTATACACACATATCTGTATATGTATAGAGAGAGATCTACATATACATAGAGAGGGAGAGAAGAGAGAACAAGAGAGGATGGTGATGACGAAGACGGGGAGGAGCAGGAGCAGCGGCGTAGCCGTTTTTTCCTGGGCCGCAGCTCCACGAGCTCACGGGCGATCCGGCCAGTCCCTCGCCCCAGGCCAGCTGCCGGACGCAGGGGGGGTGGGACAGAGAGAGAGGTGCAGTTTTGTTCACTGAAGAAGGGGCGGGGATGTGTCTGTGTTGGAGGAGGCGGAGGAGGAGGATAATAATAAAGAAGAGGAGGAGGGAGGAGGAGGAGGAGGAGGAGGAGGAGGAGGAGGAGGAGGAGGAGGCAAGAGGACGTCCGGTCAGTTCTGATCATGACTCTTCGCGGGCGGTCAACAGAGGAAAACGAGGAGGAGGATGGGGAGGAGGAGGAGGAGGAGGAGAGGAGGAGGAGGAGGAGGAGGAGGAGGAGGAGGAGGAGGAGGAGGAGGAGAGGAGGAGAGGAGGAGGAGGAGGAGGAGGAGGAGGAGGAGGAGGAGGAGGGAGGAGGAGGAGGAGGAGGAGGAGGAGGAGGAGGAGGAAGGGGGGAAAGAAGGACGGAAGGAAGGAGGGAGAGTGGCGGAAGCGGAGGAGGAAAGGCAGAAGAGAGGGGGGCCGTTGTTTTTCCAGATCCTCTACGACTTCGAGGCCATCAAGGCAAATGTGACCAGCGACCTCGCGTCCAAGGGGGAGCAGCTGCTTTCAAAGGGCAAGGAGCTGGACAGGAGACGAGGGTGGGCCCACGGGTTCCTCCTCCTGCTGCCTCGCCCTCCCTCCCTCCCAATCCCTCCCCTCCCCCTCGCCCCCCGCCCTCTTCGCCCGAGGCCCGTAGTTATTGTGGCCCAAGCGCTGGCTCCGCGCGCTCCGAGTCGCGAGCTGGCTGGCGCCGGTCGGCCGCACGGCTGCCGTCCCCCCAACCGCCGCCGCTCCGCGGCCCTCCTCGTGCCCAGGCTCGGCCTGAACGTTTTGGTCGGGCGATCTCGTGGGGAAGAGCACGGCGCAGTCGAGGCGCTGACATGAGGACCATGTTGGGCTCAGGAGAGGCCCTGCGTCTCGGGCCGCTCCCTGGATCCAGGTCGTGGAGCCAGGTCGTGGCCGAGGCTCGCCGTGGCCAGAAGAGCCCTTTCGTTCCTCCTTCCTCCTCCCTTCTCCCTCCTCCCTCCTCCCTCCTCCTCCTCCTCCTCCTCCTCCTCCTCCTCCTCCTCCTCCTCCTCCTCCTCCTCCTCCTCCTCCTCCTCCTCCTCCTCCTCCTCCTCCTCCTCCTCTATCTGCCTTCCGTCTGGCAGCGCGGCGATTGTTGCGGGTGCGGAAGTTGCAGCCACCGTGGAAGGACAGGATGGGGCGGCTGGAGCGTGCAGGCGAGAGCAGAGGTGAGCGGACGGGCACCGCCAGCCTTCCGTTGCCGTCTTGGCGCCAGGGGGTGGGGGCTGCTGCACACTGCCCCCACGCATCGGCCTCATGCCCCGCGCTGTCGCTGGAAAACGGGGGGGTGGGCGGGACACGAGACACATTCGCAAGGTGGTGGTAGGGACCGTTTTCGTTTCGGCTTCATCTTCTGGCGAGGGCAAGCGGAACGGGAGGGTGGGCGGGGCACCTTTGAAGAGTGGTGGTATGCACCGTTTTCGTTTCGGCCTCGTGTTTGGTTCTGGCGAAGGCAAAAGCGGAACGCAGAACGAGAATGGGACACACACACACAAACGCACACACACATACATTCACATAGACATACCCACATACATACATACATACATGCATATATGCATGTGTGCATGCATACATACATACATACACACCTACACGCAAACACGCAAGCACAAGCACAAGCACAAACACAAACACTAACATATACGTACATATATACATGCATACATACAAGCATGCATCCATACACACATACATACGTACATACGTACATGCAAAACATACATGCATACATACGCACACCCATTCACACACAAACATACAGGCATACATTCACACATACTTATTTAACTAGATACAGTTATAAACGCATGCATGCATGTAGACATGCATAGGGTCATACACGCATGCATGTATGCATCCATACATACCGTCATACACGCATGCATGCATGCATGCATACATACATGCATACACACATGCATGCATACATACATACAGACATGCATACATATATACACACATACACACATATAGACACACATACACACAAGCACACATACACACCCATACGTACATGCGCACATCCATACACACGTGCATACACACATCCATACATACATGCATGCATACACACATTCACACGTACCTACATTCACACTGTTCCATCCATTCAAACATGCTCACCTGCATACATGTATACAAGCAATCATACATACACATAACCGCATACATGCATATATAGATGCATCCATGCGAACGTGCATGTATATATACACATGCATACATCTATACATACATGCATACATACATATATGCATACATGCATACGTGCATGCTTTCATACAAACCTACATACGCACATACAGACATACACACATGCATGCATGCATGCATGAACGTATACAATCAGACATATATCTATATATATATATATATATATATATATATATATATATGTGTATACATATTTGCATGCATGCATGCATGCATGCATACATACATACATGTATGCATACACACATACACACACCTGTAATCATATTTGCTCACACACATGCATGCACACATGCGTACAGCCATCCATATGTACATACATGCATGCACACACACACACACACCGCTTAGGTCGAGGGCTGCCTTGTGCTCCCCCCCTCCAGCTGACGTGGCCCCGCGGCTGGCTGGCGGCCGCCTTCTGCGGCCTCGTCGGGCCGCCGCTGAGCGCCCCGCCTGGGCCCGCCGTGGGCGGCGCGCGGAGCGGGGGGGAGGCAGAGGGCCCTCCGACCTCCTCCTCATCCTCCTCCTCGCCCGAGGGGGAGGAGGAGGAGCGAGGAGCCCCTGGGCGCGCCGCCGAGCCGGGGCGCGGGCGCAGGCGCGGCGCGGGGCGAGCTCGCGAGGACGGCCTCCTGCACAGCCTGCTCGCGCCGCCCGCTCTCGGGGCCCCGTCTCGGAGGGATGGTCTACAGCGCGCGCGCCGCGAGCGCGAAGAGGCTGCCAGCCGCCTCCGCCGAGCGGGCGTGGTCGCTGAGTTTTGTGCTGCTGGTGCCTGTCCGTGGTATATCCGGCTTCTCGCCACGTCCACCGGCGAAGGCAAAGGCAATGGCATCGCAGGCCCAGAGGTTGACACCAACACCAAGATCGGCGGTATGCCTCCACCGAGGGAAGAAGATCCCGATCTCGGCGATGGTGGTCATGTTCTGGCTTCCGAGGTGGCCGAAATATGACCACCACCACCACCACCGAAATCCAGGATCATCTTCCCCCTGTGGAGGCACCCCCCTGTTTTGGTGTTGGTGCCCATTTCCAGCCCTTCAGTCGTGGCCTGCTTCGCGAGGGGGCTCCCGACCACTCCTCCTCCTCCTCCTCCTCCTCCTCCTCCTCCTCCTCCTCCTCCTCCTCCTCCTCCTCCTCCTCCTCCTCCTCCTCCTCCTCCTCCCCCTCGTCCTCCTCCTCCTCCTCCTCCTCCTCCTCCTCCTCCTCCTCCTCGCGCCGCCCGCTCTCGGGGCCCCGCCTCGGCCGTCGGGGCTGCAGGCCAGCGCGCCTCGGGCGCGGCCCGCGAGGCCGCGCTCTGGGGATCGGCCCTCGAGGCGGCGCGCGGAGGAGCTCGCGGGGTCCGTGGGCATAGCCCACGATGTTTGAGGGCCGCGCCGCGGGGCCCGGCCGGCCGCGCCGCCCGACCCGAGGGCGCGCGTGAAGCGGTCGGAAGGAAAGGAAGGAAGGAAGGAAGGCCGCCCGGTCGGAGGAGATCGACGGACCCGTGCTGCTGGCCAGGCCAAGACAGCACACGCCGCAGCTCCTCCCGAAGGGCAGGGGGAGCTCCGCCAGAAGATTCCCGAGGCCGCCGTCGGCGTGAAGGGGCCGCTGCTCCTCTCGCCGGCCCTGGCGACCTTCGTGCGGCTTGTCCCCGCGAGCGCACTGGTGCTGTCGAGGTGCCCCCTGCTGCTGGTGAGCGCCCCTTTCTCATCCTGCTGCCGGCGAGGACCCGAGCAAGGACGTGCGCAGAGGCAAAGGCTACGCCGCGCGGCCGGGTAGCGGCGAGGGCAAAGGTCAGGAGGGGGAAAACACGCAGACACAATGAATCGTCGATTCCCCAGAAAATAGGGCAAGAGGGGGGGAAGACAAAAAACCCAGAACATATGGGAGCATGGGGGGAATCCTGTTGTTTGTGTGTGCATTTGTTTGTGAGTCCCAGGGCCCCTTTCAAAGGGAGAAGGGCGGAGGCGAGTGTGCCGATGGTCTGCGGCGCGCACGCCGCGAGCGCGAGGCGGCGGCGAGGCGCCTCCGGCCGAGCGGGCGTGGCCTCCGATTGCGCAGAAGGCCCTCCTCTTGAGTCGGGCCTGTCCCTCCACAGGGGGAATATCAAAAGCACAGTCGAGCAATAGTCTGGGGACGACTGGTTTTCGTATTTGTTGGCCGTTCCGGGGCTTCTGTCTACCATGTTTCGTTTTTCGTCCAAAGTCCCCCCGTATAGGAGGACAGGCCCGACTCAGCCTTGCTCGGGAGCGAAAGAAGGACGTACATGTACACGAGTCCACGCTGGTTTCGAGAGTGCGCATTGCGCACATGTTCGCAGCACGCGGCCAGTCTCTTGGATCGAGGGGCCGCGTTCATGTACATAGCTGGGCGCGTACGTCTTTGGTGGGCTCCCTACTTGCGGCGGCGGTGACGACGACGACGACGACGCTAACGTGCGCCAGGGATGGTCTACAGCGCGCGCGCCGCGAGCGCGAAGAGGCTGCCAGCCGCCTCCGCCGAGCGGGCGTGGTCGCTGAGTTTTGTGCTGCTGGTGCCTATCCGTGGTATATCCGGCTTCTCGCCACGTCCACCGGCGAAGGCAAAGGCAATGGCATCGCAGGCCCAGAGGTTGACACCAACACCAAGATCGGCGGTATGCCTCCACCGAGGGAAGAAGATCCCGATTTCGGTGATGGTGGTAATGTTCTGGCTTCCGAGGTGGCCGAAAGATTTCCACCAACGCAACACGGACATCTAGGATCGTCTTCCCCCTGTGGAGGCGCAACCCCCTGTGTTGGTGTTGGTGCCCGTTCCCAGGCCTCCGATGACAAGGACATCCGAGCAGCACGGGTGGGCCCAGCGCCCGCGCCGGCTGCAGGGCGATAGCGCCCGCTTGCGTCCGCGAGATTGCGGCTGCCGTCGCCGTCGTTCGCGTCGCTGCGCTCTTTCGTCTGTCGTCGTTGTCGTCGTCGTCCTCGGCGTCGTCCTCCTCGCCGTCGTCCGCGGCAGCATGCCTGGACTCCTGGTCCTTTCGGGGTGAGCGCGCGGATTCCGAGAACCCTAGAGTCGGGCTGCTGAAAGAAGGGGCGATCAACAGGGAACGAAGCCCCTTTATGGCCCGAGGAAGGCTGGAGGAAAAGCCACAGAAGGACCCAAGGAATATCGAGCCCCTTCCTCGCCCAAACTGTTCCTTCTTTCGGCGACTTTCAGGAGGGGAAGAAACACACAGACACGATGAATCGGCGATTCCCAAGAAAATGTTGGAAAATATGGGAAGGGGGGGAAGACAGACGCCCAGAACATATAGGGAACTGTTGGGGATATTCTGATTTGTGTGTATTTCTTTGTG